CTGATCATGCAGTGCAGAGCACCTGATGCAACAGTCCAAGTGAATTATAAACTCTGAAATCAGAGTGATTTTTAAAAACAGTTGCACTTTTCACAGGAACACTGGATTTGCCTACATCAAGTCATAGAACTTTATGGAGAATGACAAATGATTTTGTAGCTCCTTCTACTAGCCATAGGGAAAAAAATCCAAAATAAAACACATGGCACAGGACCCAACATTATGAGCTTCTCATAAAGGACATAATGAGAACATTATCTGAATTCAGGTTTCCACCTCACGGAAGACTGATTCAAACAGAAATAAAGAAATAAACCACTTATTTATTTAGATGTGGCAACTCCATCTATCTGACATGCCACATCCCAAGCTGAGGTAAATCTCTACTCCACATATACAGCCTGTTTTCATTGTGATGTAGCTTTCAACAGAGAAAGGAAATATTCTTTTGCTCCTACCAAAATATTTTTTAAATGTGGACTAAATCAAATTACCAGTTTACAGAATTTCACAAATCTTAAAAAACAAAACACCAAACCCACCATGCTCAAACCTGTACTACTTGGACAGAAACTACCTGTTTGTAGCAAAAATATAGGTCATACAATCCTATTTTCAAACAGGGAATGCCTTCATCATCCTAGTAATAGCTAGTCTCAGAGCACAAAAGCCACTAGCAAAACAGACAAGCAGCAATATGAGTTATGGTTTTAGGAACACAGCGTGGCAGTCCCAACATTAACATTATAAAGCCTCTAGCCTGTTTCTTTCTAGCAGTTTGGGCTGCAAAAGTATAGTGTACATTTTCAAATGTCAGCTGTGCTTATTGATAAATAGTCATGTATTTAGAGGTCAGTTAACTTACCGCAACCTTCTTGTCTAATGGAGAGAGTCATTTCAGTGCTGTATATTTGTTATCAACCCAGTTGTGCGTAATTTCACATTGTACACTCTACAGAAACACAACTACTTGGTTTCACTAAAGTGAAGCTGTCAGTTACTGAAAATATAACAGGCAGGCACAGGAGGAAACTCCCTGCCACATTGATACCTCTCATGGCTGATTTTTACCATATCTTACTATTAACATTTTGTAACCTCATCATCACACAGATTACGTTTTGCACACATATCAAAAATCAAAATACAAGTTTCCTTGCTTTCTCAAGCAAGTTTAGCTCACCCTGTCTATTATCCCAGCTGGAGACACCACATAAATTTTTACTGCAATGGATATATGAGCTTTGGATCATCACACAGGTGATATACACAGTGCTGTAATTGTCATCAGTGGGAATACCCCCAGATTCAGACTGCTTCAGATTACCACCCTACAAATACTTAAAACCAACATGAAATAACACTGCCGTAGAAAAGAAAAGGTCATATCCCCTTCATCTCCCTCCATAGTACAGATCATGTACTTCTGGTGGCAGTGCCAGCTTCTGTGGATGTAGAGCATTCATCAGATGCATCTCAGAGCACAGAAAACTTTAGCTTCATCTTTCTACACTACCTTTTCTCTGACTGATGAAAGCATAAATCATTGTCCAGGACCTCATTATGTTAAAGATTGTATGAATATAGAGGAAAAAGATTGCTTCTCAGCCAAAGTAGAAAATGTTTACAGAAAATGCTAACGCACTTCCGCAGACCTTTCTGTGATGTTCATAAAAACTGTGCCAGCTAAGTATTTCCTTCATACAATACTTGTCTTTCTAATTCACTTGCTGCAATTGCTCTTTTCAATAGAATTGTTTTAAAATCGGTTCTTCTGAAATGCTCTATTTTCTGGAAGAAGGTTGAACTTTCTTGTGTCCAGATCATATCCTGGGTCAACATGTTCAAATGCCTAGTTTTATTTTTTCACTAAACAGTAAATCAAATTAACCCGTTAACTTCAGAGGTATACTCAGTTATGATAGAGGCATGTCAGGGAAGATGACAACAATACTAAAGATGGAAAATGAACAGCTGTATTAACAGCAACAGGATGTAATTAAGGAAACCAAACAGAGGAGTTACGAGAGAAAATTAGAAGGCCTAAAAATAAGTCTATTTTGCTGTGAAACAACTACGAGAGGAAAGGAATGATACAATTCCCCATATGGTTTTGCTTCATTCTGTCCCCAGGGGCACTCTGTCCCTATTGTAAAGTAAAAACAGTTTCACAAGAGAAACACACAGAAGTAGGTAATTTGTCCCTGCTTTTTAAGACAGCTCTCCCTGGTTTCAGTGTGAAGAACAGCTTTAGATATCAAGATCCCATCTTCAAAACTTCTATCCAGTTCTGGTTTCTTTAGGAACTGTTAGCTTCGCCCAGTTCTTAGAGAGAAAATATGACTGTCCAGAATGTAGCCCAAACAAGGAGCAACAGAAAGTACTAGAATTAGATGGATTTTAAACAGTTTGCTCCAAAATTGTGAGATATGAGAGTCACGTAATTCTTGAGGCCCCTAAGCTCTACTGATGTTCTGTTTTTTTATTTTAAAATTTCTTTTCTTGTTCCCGTACACGTGCTCTGACTCTCTCTGGCAGACATTCTCAGAACATACTGAATGCACACCAACAAAATAATGATATTTACAAAGCACTTCAAGCAGCTACCACTTTATTTTAAAATGTAGAAGAGAGTTATTGCCAGAATCACCTTTTTAAAGTAAATGTAGGTGCTAAAGCATCTTTCCAGAATGTGAAAGACAGTGTCAATGTCTCTTTTTTTCGCAGAGGAGATTTAATAGTCATGTTTCCAGAAACTATTCTAATCCCATTGATATATCAGTGAGAGCAATCTGTGTTCTCTGCCCTAAAAGTCATTCAAGATCCACAGGGTCAGACGAATAGCATAAAGGATATCAGTGCCCTTGTACTGGAAAACAGACAATCCGAATGCTAGTATCTGCTCCTGTTTATGCACTTGGAAGGGTTATTGGAGAAACATATAAACAGTCCTTGAAGCTAGATCTGGAATCCAGTAACTCTCCTTCTCTGACTGTGGGTCTGGCCTAGCTAGGGATGAGATTTCAAACTCACTAAAGGCTCTGGACATGTCCTCTGAAAGCCTATTACTAGGAATCTTGTTCTTTTACACCTTTGCTTTGTTTCCTAGACACACTATATCTTGGGCCACTTTTCCCCAGTCTCGCAGAATTTCCTCTCTGGCAGAAACTCTACCTCCTTTTTGTACACTCTCCCTCATTGCCCTTTAGATCTGACACTAAATCCTAAAATAGTTAACAACAATTTATAAGTTTTTACCATTAGACTTTCAAAACTAACTCTCTGATGAGATTAAGGATAGACAAATTCAATGCCATTAATTGTTCTACCTGTCCTGAGTCAAGAAGATCATAAAACTTCAGTTTCCAGTTATTCTGTATTTGGAATATTAGCTAGATGAGTTTTCCTTAGCAATATTAGTAAATGCAGGCACTGCATTAAAAGGCTAAATGCACTTTAAAGGTCATGTAACTACACCGGACAGTTGAAATGCATTAAATCTCCAGATTGCAAACTATGCAATGCGCAACGTAAGGCTAAACATAAAGATTACTGAAAGTCAATTTAAAGCATGCTTGGAGATTCTCCAGCATAAAAGTTATAAAAATTTTAAAGATACGGATTTATCAACCGGTTGCCCACATGGCTAGTTTCTAATGAACGCTTTCATGTGGGACATAATTTGACAGGAGAAAAGGCCAGAGAAGAATGTGTTTTAATCATCTTTACCTCCTCAATATTGCTCTAATTGTGTGCGTTACATACAAAGTAAACTTGATTACCGTTCTCAAATTCAGCTTAAACAATAATCCAAATTAATTTACTGTGGATATAGATACTTGCTGCCTTTGCAGACAATCACAAACTCTCTCCTACTAGAATTAAAGAATGAGCAGAAGCTTACAAAGGGAAAAGGCTGACAATTTTTCCCAAGTAGGTGCCTAGCAATTCCTACAGCATGCCTTTGCTGTTCATATCTATACTGACAGCTGGACTTCCTGTCTTTGCATCTGTCCATAAGGCATTCAGGAAGGAAGGTTTATATCTTTACATGTTTTCCATGAAGTACTTTGATGACTAATTTCTAGAGTACTGAGTCACATTGACCTTTCACATACTCCCCTCCATCCAAAATGTTAGTTCTCCCTACTCCACTTTTCCATTGTTACATGCCTTTTCCTCATTTAAATTGTATTTAGATTTTCTAAAACAGTTATTTAAGTTCTAGCTAACTTTTTTTTTTTAAATACAAGCTAGTATCACTGTTTTTCATTACACAGCTACTGAAAATGAAGTTTATGTCAATTCTTCCAAGTAAACTATTACAAAAATCACCAAAAATATTTTGGGGTTTTGGGGGTGGCCAGGTGGTGTTTGTTTGTTACGTTGCCTCCACGGTAAGCCTCATTCACTACCCTCCTCATAGTTCAAGTGTTTTTAGTTTCTTGAGAATTTCAATATACACTGTGAGTGAAATTGGCTTATAGTAGCATCAGCTTAATTTGTTTCTCCTAAAATGTTCTCGTACCTCTCAAAATATTAATTGCTTCAAATGTTACATGCCTTGGAAGGATTTGAAATAGTCTGGCAGACCACTCTGCCTGAATCAAGCCTCCCTTGGAGCTACTGTAGCAGAGAAATTGTTTTAAAAAACAAGAGCTTTTTTTCAAACTCCAGCTATTGATCAAAATTAACATATTCACCTTTTTCTTTCAAAGAACTATCTCGGAGCTCAAAATACCTTAGTCTGACATTCTGACAACAAAAGACTAGTTGTATTAGTAATCATAGAAGTATATTCATTGTCCTACTGTTTCAAATTTACAGAGGAAAAAAGTCTCCCTTTTCACAGCACTCGTCACTGGACTTTGAATGTAAACATCTGACTACTGCATCTACCACATTCTAAAGAAAACATAACAGTAGATACTCCTTTCTGCCAGCTAAAGAAAAAAAAAGCTCTCTCTTGTAAAACTGAAAGTCTGTTACAAAGTACTCACCAAACTCCTAGCAACAGTCCTTGAAGAAAGAAAGAATTCCTGAATCAGTGCTGAATATGATCCTCCCCTACTAATTCACGTTGAAGGGGTGTGGTGTAAAGCTACAACGGCAGGATTGCAACCTGATCTTCCTAGAGCAGGCTCCTGCCCGTGGATTAACCAGCTACTCCTTCTGGCTTTTTGTAGAGCACATGGGTTCACTCTGGGTAGAAGTCAGAGATCTGCAGCAGCAGCAGGGACGCTTCCTGTTTCAAGTTTTCAGATCTGCCTGCAATTTAGAGCAACTGTTTTCTAAACAGCGCTCGCTAAAATGAAATGCACTTTTAAAGATGATAGACAGTCTGTAGGATACTCTATTCATTGTACTTTGCAGGCTTTGATATGGCTCATGAGGATGCCAGACTCGCTGCCTATTTAAGAGAGATATGTTGTAGTTTACTGTTGTTTTTTGTTTGTCTGTTTGTTTTTAAATAAAGCCGTGCTCTTCACTCTAGATCCGGGCTACATTCATCACAGTATCTGGAGCTGTACTACAAAGGCTGTTCTGCCTTCAGCTAGAACATACCATCTATTTACAAATCACGCTAGTATGTGCTAAAACTAAAGTTAAGCATAATTAAGAGTACCATGGCTGAAGATAGGGACGAGGACTCTAGTTGTAAGACTGAGAGCTTGTGGATGTAGAGACAGATGACCGGAATCCTAGTCCTGGACACACAGGATGAGAATTTCCCAGATAATGAATTAAACAGCAACTGAGACAGAAGTAAGAGCTGAAGAACAGTAACTTACACGGTTAGTAGCTGTAACTAATTGCAAGTATTTCAGGGCAAAGACAAACAGGAGAGTTAAATCACTTTCATTGAAGATTTATATTCATCTGTTCATCACCATCCTGAAACAGACTGGAAGTTTTTCATAGTCGGGTAACAGATTAGCTATCTCTGACACAAGCAGAAGTGCTCCTGGCAGCTTCTTAGCTCTCCTGCCTGTTGCTCCTGACTGTAAGAATGTGAGTAATACTTTTCAGGGCAAAGTCAGTAGTCAGCTGAGTCTACCGACTATTAACTGGGTCAATAATCAAATGGATTAACTGTCCTGAAATGGACTAGAAGCACTCACAAAGTAAAGGGGCGGTTTAAGTGCTGGTGGTGGGAGTCTACCATGCAGTTACTAATTACCAACTCCTAGCTCAGATAAAGCAAGAAGCAACCCAGCTCAGGAGAAGTTGGTTAAATGGAAATGGTCGGTCTGTCATTTGTGTGACACCGAGCCACTGAAAAACATATTTTGGGGGCCCATGTATTAAGAATTGGTACTGGCAGTGCTATCCATAAATCTCTTTAAAGGTCACAAGTAAGACAGCCCAAAACAGATATACTAAAATGACATCACGATTTAAAGAAATCTCAGTTTGTACATTTATAATAGAAACAAAACCAACTAGATTTCCAAAAAATGAAATACTTCATTTGGCTTTTCTTAAAATGCATCTGTGTGGATGAACAAAGAGAGTTTCAAATTTGCTCCACTCTATAAGGCATTTACAGAGGAACTGCTTTATTTTTAGTCATACCGGATGCTGAATGGTCTGAATTTACCAGTCCATGAAAACATATTCCTAATCTAGGGACTTGACCTGGTCAAAACTTCAAGTGGGCTCTTTTGGTTTTAATAAGAAATATATATATATTTTAAAAATGAACATTCAAAAAAGAATAAAAAGTTTCTGTCATAATGTGTCAGCATCGTTCATTCTTTTCCCGCAAAATCCCACTCAAGTCACTCAGATTTGATGTACCAAATAATGAAGTAATTCTGAAAGAAATAGTCCACACAGACATGAAAAACAAGAAAATGCTACAGTCTTAAAACACATTTTGTCTTCTTTTGGTCAAATAGGTTGAGAATCACATATAAAGAAAAGTATTTTGGTGGACATATAAGAGAATGAAACCTCTTATTTTGATTAAAAGTTAGATTAAGAAATCTTTGGTAAGTAATAAAACAGGATGAGAGTAAAAATACCAACATGTGTATGAAAAGCACATACCCAGAAGAAAAATGCAAAGGAAATAGTATTACATTTTAAGATTAATATTTTTGCTTTCTATCCTGTTAATGTCTCTCCAGTTCTGACGTGCAGTTCCTTACTTAGGGAATTTCTAACCTTGGAGTATGTGACATTATCATTATGTTCTCTCTTCATGTTTATTTACAGCATGTGCTACATGAATCAATTGCCAATACAAAGATTACATTCTGGAAGATCACCATTTCCCATGACTTCTGAGGTCAACCCACAGAGTCAAGCTCTGGCCAGTTATGCAATAGTAGGAACTGTACACGTTATTGAATCAGTGTGAGAAAAGACCATTTACAGTACATACATCAGCAGGCCAGCTACCAAATTCTGCTTGTTTTTCACAGATTACTCTGGCATGCAGCAGGGCCAGTACAAGCCTAATATTCCAGCCTCCTTTACAGGCTGCTTTCTGCTGGCCTATTTTGAAATTACTTGGGTTTGACAGTCAAAGGAAAGTCCAGAGAGCATTTATATGATTCTTCTATAGCCAGGATAGCTTTACTGAGGGATTATAACCCCAGAACATCACAGAATGGAGAAGGGCAGAGAAGGCCCAGCAGGAAGGTCTGAAGGACAGTAAACAAGACCGGTGCTACCGAATGTATTCCAGATCATTCATATCACTGAGAACTTCCATAAAGAAATTTGACGTGAGCACAGGTTATACTGCATTTCGATAAAAAAAAAAAATTGACTTACAGCTCCATTTTTCATGACCTCCATGCCTCACTGTGTATCAGTAAATGGATATGTGCAACAATACAGGTAGAGTAAACTAAGAGATGCCATAAAAAATGCCTTGTACAAATTCTTGGAATACTGAAAGGTAGCTTGGCTCTGGAGAGTTCATAGAATCATAGAATCATTAAATCATTAAGGTTGGAAGAGACCTCTAAGATCATCGAGTCCAACCATCAACCCAACACCACCATGCCCACTAAACCATGTCCCCAAGCACCTCATCTACACCTCTTTTAAATACTTCCAGGGATGGTGACTCAACCACTTCCCTGGGCAGCCTGTTCCAATGTGTAACCACTCTTTCAGTAAAGA